CTGTAGGTCTGTTCTTCAACTGATTCCCATGTAACTCCTATGATTCAAACGTGTGGCAAGCCTGAGACTATCACGGCATACAGTGCCTCGAAGTGCGTCCAGCTGACAGTTTACTGTACTACCCCATCAGCCACGTGTGTATTGTGTGCTTAGTGGATGGTCGGTGGACTGGAAGTCAGATGGTGGTGGCCCCTTCCCGGTGTGTATTTCATAGGGCTGGTCACGCTGTGGCGCGTACCGATAGGTTCGCCAGTCTTGTCAGCCAACGGATCAGACATCATACCCGCTGGGTCAGTGGTGGAATGAGGGCTAGGTCAACGGAACAGCGCTTTATTGCTCCTTAAAACAGTATTCTAAAATAGAAAGAAAAAATAAACACGCAGTTTATCTTTATTTTTAGTGGGAAAGGAAGAAATAATATGATATTAGACCACATATCTGTGAAAATTTGCCGAAATTCGAGCTGCATGAGGGGATATTGCTAGCTTATTTCAGTAACTTAGATCTGAGGTTAATTGTCTATCTTGAAAGACTAAGAGTCCAAGAAGGTTAGCGAGGCAAAAACACACGAAACTACAACTGGAGATGGAGAAACTTTCATCTGTCTGGTAGCGCTCTATCGTGAGAGCGTACGTTAGTCTGCGTTTATTTTATCAATGAATATATTGGCCGTATCTGTGCAAAATGAGTGACTGCACGTAGGGGCATCTGCGCATGTGGAAATTTCATTTATGTAAATAATTGAGAGAAGTGTCTGAAGACCGTGCCTTGAAAAGCACTGCTCGTTCTCGGCCGGGAGTCGAATAGCTAATACTTACTATGACTTGCGGAACCAAAGAAATCGAGAAGGGGGCCCTACGCCGAAGTTTTCCCGTTTCACCAGAGGACGTCTGTGCGGGATTTTGTGGAAGGCTTTGCTAAGGTCAAGGTAGATCACAAACATTGATGGCTGCTCATTACGAAGGGAAGTGACGAGGTAAAGAAAAGCAAACTGACACTTTTCGAGCGATCCTCCATGTAGCAAACCATGCTGCGAGACGCTTAAAAGTCGGCTTTCTAGACAAAAGCCGAGAATAAGATTAGCGATTATCTTTTCCAGAAGTTTGGCTAGAACCGGAGTTTAATGAACGCCTAGATATTTAATTACACCCGAACGTACGTCCGAATTGAAGACAGGATGAATATTAGTTGTCTGAGAATAGATGACTAAGCAATCGGGGAATCTCGATACTCTATTGATAACTTACTTTGAAATACCATCAGTTCCCAAAAAGGGGGAGTTTTTACACGATAAGGTGCTCACGACTTATTTCTACGGGGAAATCAAAGGAAATGATAGTTTTGACTGTATATGGTTGAAACGACAGAACTGGTTTAGATTTCGTCCTAATATCTCTTGAGAAATATGTTGTTTTTTCCAGCTGAACAAGTTTGAAATACTCCACGTCCATTTCCATTGACTCTCTGCCAGAACTACTACAATAGTTTCCCTCTCACGAAAGGCTGTTCCCTCGTCCTCTGAACTGCGTTTCCGAATACCTTTCCTCCAAGAATTCTGCTCCTGTTGATCTTCTAGTTTTCAGTCTTTTAATCACCTTTTCGTACAATGCTTCCGCCCCACCCATCCACTACGTAAATTGACAAGTAAAAAAGGGCCCTTGGGCATTAAATATACAATTTATTATCAACTAATTGAAGAATACTTGATATTGCCTCACCTCCCCCTCTTGTTCGATTAGAGCTGGCAACACCGCAGACTTCAAAACGTTTGCAACCAGCGGCCGCCAATCGCCCCCTTGGCGGCTCAGTGTTGCCTCTGCACATGTCCGCATCCTTTCGCGCTGGTGTTTCAGACCAATAGAGTCCACAGAAAATGCCTCCTGAAAACACATAAAAGTAGCAGTCTTCACCTCTCCTATTAACACATACATGCTGCTCAAAGATTGATTTTGTCCTGAGTAGCATTGTTGTCGAAATTATGTTTTCCCCTTATTTAGAGTAACACAATTAAGCTGATTCCCTTTGTTCTTGACCTTATATATAGTAAAAAAGTTTATTTGTACAACACTTCTTTGGTACCATCAAAATTATTGTTGAGGTTTGTACATTGTATATCCTTTACAATTTCCTTAATATAACTATACTGCCCTGATTGTTATTATCACTGTGTTTGAAGTACGCGTGGCTACTGAGTACAGAGTCAGAGAATTCAGGAAGACGAAACAAATGCACATAACAACTCAGTATCAGTTTATTGAGGGAAAAATAGGTGAACAAAATTTTTCAATATTCATTTAGTAGCAGGGTATTTCGTGACCTTGGTAAGAGGAAAACCGATGAAGGAACAGTTGAGCAACAAATTTTGCAGAGTTAAACTCACTATTTGCGCCAGGTTCCTTTGGTCTCTCACATGCAATACGGATATTCAGTGCTAGTTCGCAGGTCTCCGTGACGTACGGTTATAAAATACGATCACTAACTATTTAGTGATAGGAGTTAATAGTGGCATTGGTGGGGGCGTAGAACATTTTCAATTAATAAACATCTACGGAAGGCCAGTTACGTTTGTTTCGAAGTATTCTCGTTTCGTAAAGGTTTATTAATTTTGTTGTTTGCCCCTGCCACTGGGTGTTTGTTATCCCATTTTCTTCATTCTTTATTTTTTTATAATGCCTTTTAATCGAATAAAGGGAGTGGCCTTGAGTTTTGTATTTAGATTATGCGGTTGTAAATAGATTGGTTGGTCTCAGACAGCGCCCGCGAATAAACTATTTACTATTCTGTAGTTGGGTCGGAGGGGATCTGCAGCTGCCCAATTGCTCTTCCTTCCTCTGCTGTATCGCAGTCAACGGCTTTTAAGTTCGTTCAAATTTTTCATATCCTGCGGTTGGATTTTCACCGGACAGAGGCCTTCGCGAAGGATAGTTTTTGGCATAAGGTGCAATCGCACTGGTGTCCACATCGCCATTTACAACGCATAGAAAGAACGTCTTGGTAATTTGAATGCTGATTTGTGTACGGTGGTGACGTTGTCGCTGATTTTGTTATGCTAGAATTAGTGTGCTCGAACGCAGAGTTCTGAAATAGCCGAAGCCACACATCTGCCCTAATAGCAAGTAGGATTCTACGGGAATCCTTCCAAGTCCACAAAGTAGGATTCTACGGGAATTCTACGTGGAACAATTTGTAGAATTATCAGGACGTCTACATTGGGTCCACAATGTAGACCCTCGATTTTTCGCCGGACAGGGAGTACCTCCTTTATCGCATTTCCCCGCTTTTTTTTCGAAACGCGGTAATAGATAACTTTTTTGAAGACATTTGATATAGGGAAGATGTATTATTTGTAAAAAAAACGTATAGAAAATGATATTGTACATGTTAGCCATACCGATTGGGTTGGCCGGTTTCCATACCTGTGACGTATGCCTTCTGATCGATAGGACCTATTCTCGTCCGTTTAAGACGGTTATCCCGCTGCCCGTCGTCAGACGCAAGAAGGTTAATTTTTTCCCAGAATGATAACCCTATATTCAAGCAGAGCCTTGACGAAACTTGTTCCCTTGGTGCTAACTCTATTCTCTTATAAGAGGACTTGCTGTAAGTGACTTTTATTACTACAACAAAAATAACGCTAGGAATATTGTAAAACCATTACATTGATGTTATTTACAATACTGACAACAAAGGTGCTAGCTAGTATGCTGCAAGTATGGTCACTTACAACATAAATGTATATTAATGTCTGCTCGTTGGCAGCATTTTTATATTACGTGGTTATCCCACAGTGGCTGATGGGGTTTTGACCAAGTATATACATAAATTTTAGCTAATGCTTATAGACCTTGAATATACTAATCTATACCGACGGCAGATATTAATTTCTGAGGAAATTAAAAAGCCGAAAACCATTACAGTAAGCCATTCGCACGTCTTTGCTTCCTCTCGAGTGTCATCGCAAATTCTTATTATTGTCAGTCTTCACAAGTAAAGGAACCTGATGCTTATGTTCGCCGCCTACACAAAATCAACCGGTTATTACGCTAAACTAATGGCAGATGTACGGTAAAATGATCTCGATATCCTGATATTACGGAGTTTCTACCAATCTACTTTATCCTTCGTTCTGAAGTTACAAAGCTTTGTTGGTTGACCGACACGCAAGGCCACCCATGATGCATTGTCAGCTGATCTTGATGATATGCCACTTAAACTTTAATATATACTAGTTAACCAGATCCCCATTTCTGACCTCAGTGAAGTAAGAAAACCCGTATTAAGACGATGGAATTAAGAGCCGGATCCATTAAATCCAGTCTAATTTCTCTGCTGCAGTCAATGCACAAAAATACTTCGCAGATATAATAATTAAGCCAACCATATGAACCGTTAACTTTGGGCGAAGAGATTACATCAAATCTGGGCAAACCGCTCGGCAAGTCATTCTCGCCTCGGTTTTCCTGTATGAGTCTTTGTTCATTTTGCACTTACGTGCAGGTAAAGTGTTTTCTAAGTTTTTTTCTTACTGAGGACTGCGACTTCTCACACAATTTCGTCGTCATTATCATTTTGACACACACTGGTTGCTTTTCTACACTTAGAGTTCATCCAAGTGGTGGCTACAGGAGTGGATAATTATAGTACACACGCAGATAACCGCTACGCACTATAAATACAATGCAATATGTGCATGTTTCACCTCTATCTGCGCATGGCTAAGACTAACTTACCGTTACCTGTGATTAGGATTCCCAACGGAATCCGAAACGTCAGGAAAATAAAACTCTTCTGACATTTGTTGCATCTTCTTCTTCTGAACAGCTTCCTGGAGCTCGCATATTTACTTTTATTGGTACACTTAGAGTTTTGTCTTGACATAATTCTATATTAACTTGTCAATTCTATCCAACTAATCTATCATATCTGTCTTGACAGACATAACCCTGCACCTGGAATCTATACAAACACTGACTCTCCAAGGCTAGTACCCTTCTTCCAAGATGAGTTTTGGGCCGAACGATTCAGGCCTCCTACCATTCAAGTCAGAAGAGGAGACGAAGGAGTACTTGGACGAACTGGGCATGAAATTCAAATATGCTTGCCAAAAGGAGAAGGACCCTATACGTAATTTCTGCAGAACGTATTGATTTATTAGTACCCTGTCATACAGTTTGAAAGCACTACAGACACTAATTTTCCGTCCTGACAGTCTGGTTCTTAACAATGAAGTACCCCGGATTGTGTCCTTCCATGCATATCCTAATACTTTTACGTGTTAACACACAAATACAAGACCCTGATTCGACTGTTCTCCTCCTCCTTAAGAATGTCATTCTCTCGGACTGTGGCTGGAGACTTTTAAACGAAAGTGGGGAGAAGCTGAGAGTATTTACCGCGACAACTGTTTTACACGACGTTTCCCCGAAAGTTGCAACAAGTACGCCTTCTTCAAACTGTTTGGCGGCGAGGGGATCACTCGTGACAAACAGCTGGCCTTCGAAGCTCTCAAGTTCGGTTGTCATGTTGCCGGAGATGCCAGATGCTGCCAGGTAGGTGTCGGCGGTTCGCCCCGCATATAAGTCAACCTCTTTCTACCAGCCCTCCACTCATACTGTCAGCCTGCACTGCACTTGTCTTCCCGTAGACAGCCGGTGAACAGCTCCTAGATGGTGTCATCCCAGACAACGAAAATTTCGACCAGGCCGGTGAGTTTTTCAAGCTGGGCAGTGAGCGTGGCCTGCCAGTGAGCAGCTACTACCTGGGCAGTCTCTTCTATGGCAGAGCAACACGCCAGCGTGCGGCTGACGTGCGCCAGTCCGGCAGCATTCGTCAGCCGCGCTCTGAAGCGGAGCTGCAGTTGCGCAAGAACGCCCTCCAGTACTGGATCGCGGCCTGTG